ATCCTCCATCCCAGGTAGGGCACAAGGAAGAAAAAAAGAGTCAAGAAGAGAAGAAACGCCGTGTTAAATCGCTAGCGCGATAAATTTGTCTTTAAAGTAACAACACAACAAAGTCGTTTTCAATGTCGGGAATATACAATCATAGGCAGATTACACCAGGAGGAGCAGGAGGGTCGAGCCGTTTCAACGAGCTCTTGGAAGCTTTGAAACAAGAATATGACAGTCTCCAACAGGAAGCCATGGCTTATAAAATGCAACGTGAAGAATTTGAACATAAAGGTACCTCAATTGTCATTGATTTTGTGAACACAATCCATTCGTCCGCGTGAGTTACTGAAACCCTGTCTTGAGAAATTCATATTATGTTGAAATACAATCGTGTGCTGCGTAATATGGTGTTATTGACCGGTGTCATTGTACTTCGGCTATCGATGCTCTGCAATTTTATCACGCGTCAACTCAATCGTAAATAATGCATGTTTTGTAGAGGTGACCAAGCTAAATGTATTTCACCCAATATATATATTTTATTTTATTTACAGTACAACAACAGACTGACGAAGTCAGCATGATCCGTCAGGGTTTATACGAATTGCAGAACACTCAGAAAAACATAAAACAACAGTGAGTATATGATTCTCGTGTATTGTGTTTTTCGGCATTGTTTTTGGGTATTTAATGATTTCACAAATTTTGTAGATATGATGCGGAGATACGTAATCTTCAACGTGAAATCGAACAACAAAGGTTACATGCTCATCCATCTTCCAGCACTCATCCTCAGCCGCCACCCTCGCACCCCCCGCCGCAGCCCCCTCCACCGGCCATTGGACAAGGTCAAAGCAATCTTTTCGGTACTATCATCAGTGGCAATGGCCCTCAAAGCCTTGTCGCACCTCCTCAGATGTTGGATCCTGCGCAATCTGCGAATCAACAGGGACATCCATATCCCGGTCCGGGGGGTCCCCCTCAAAGTGTTCCACAATCTGGTGGTAGCACTGCTCCATCTCCATATCTTAACGGTGGCGGTCCACCGGGTCAATCACACACAACAAAGAGGCCACGCATAGGCATAGAAGATGGCTTGCCACAAGGTCCGCAAGCTCCTATTGGAATCCCTCCAAATACGCAGCAATCTCCAGCCGGACTGTACGGCAGCAACGTTGTTCCTCCTCCTCAACCCGGTCAACAAGGACCTCCCTTGAATCCGGGATATGCTTCGTCTGTTGGTCAAAGTAATAAACCCGTTAATAAAACAAAGGTACGTTAAAATGTGTTAGTCGTAGAATAGAAAATTTATTTATCACCGTTACCACACGCCTCAAAAACCTGGTGCGGAGATACTGGTCGGGTCTTCTTGATCTCGCACAGCCT